ACGCTTTCCAATGGTGTTGGATATGACCTAGCCTTGTTGTTCCGGGAACCTAGTTTCAGATTGTGTCAAAAGACATCAGACACTTTAAAAAAAAACTGGGATCACTCTCCCTGGTCTGATTAAATGTCTCCCTTCATCCAACACCCCACACCCATATTATTGACATGTGTTCACTAATTTTCAAAAACTATAAGCGACATCAAGGAGTAACTGTGGAAAAATTACACCTAGGGACACAGTTGTCATTTCTTTACTGGCAAAACTCTCCCCTCCTGCCCAGTACCACCATAGAGACTTGCATCAACTATTTGCACCCTACTGCTGCCCCTACTATGTTATAATAGAGAGGAGACTAATGCTGTGCTTTATAAATTGGCTCTTATTCTGTACCCATACTGATATAAAATTCTTTTTCAAACGATGCCATGAAAACAAAGAGCAATAAGTAACAACTAGAAATTATTCATTAATTCAAACCAAAATTCTCTAAAATAGAATGATATTCTGAGTAATACTTAATCTTGTCATAAATAATGAATGGATCCCTTCTAGAACATTCTTCCTCTGTTTACCTAAACACAGCATGATATATTACATAGAGTGTACAGTCAATAAGTTCTTGAGGCAGAAAGGAAGGAAAGAAGAAGGGAGTAAAGGAAGGATAGTAGGAAAGAAGGAAATAAAACTTCCATGCATTTGCTTATGTAATTGAGGTAAGTAGACATATGATATTCTTTATGAAAGAAAACAAGATGTAAAATGGGAACTAAAGTATCTTGTTTAAGGGGCCCCATGAATTTGAAATGAGGACGGAGGATTTGGACTCTGAGGGATTTTTTACTCTTTCTGGTTCTTAACCTGTGTTCTCTCCTATTCCTTGTTCCTTATCCAGGAATGAAAAAGGTGCATATTTCACTTGGTGATATTCGTATGCGGAGTCTGATCGTGTATCTTTCTAAATGCAAGAACTCACTGCATTATTTTATATAGTGATGTTTTGTATTGGTTAGTCTTGTGGAAAACATGGAAGATAAAACTACACCCAAAAAACCAAAAGTTACCTGAATTTGCATTTCTTCTGTGAAACGAGTCCAGATACCACCATCCCAGCTAATTTTTTCTGTAGTGACTTGGTTTTCAGATGCTTCTGTCTTTCCAGTTTCATCGTAGTTTTTGCTAAGGAAGTGGATACTGGAATAACAGCTGTATTTCCACCTGCTTTACAACATTTTATTTCCAGTACATATCACCTGGTAATGTGTTCCCTTGTGGCACATTAGAGGATCATTAAATTAAAAATGAAAGGAGTGGTTGATGATTGACTGCTCTCTAATTACCTGGAGTGTTTGTCAAAGGCAGTAGGCAGGAGACATAAGCTCCATTTTGCTGTTATATTGACTGTCGGGTTTACAGCACATCTCTGCTCGCATAGAAAACTTCCCCAACAAGGATATTTAGTGGAGCAGACCTTTGCAAGTGGAATAAATCCCTTTGGCATCAGAATAAACAGACAGTGAAGAAAATGATCTAGTGATGAAACTGGTTTATCCGCTGCCTTCAAAATAAGAATCCTATCTAGGATCAGTGTTTCTCAACCATTTTTCCCCACATTATTGAGACTTTTTAGAGATCTTTTCCTAACAGCTCACCCGTGAAATTTTAATACCATAGATATATTTTTTATCTGTTTATGTACTGTGGCCCTTTGGAGGACTATAAATTATTATAATATCTAAACTTTTTTCTCTCCACCAAGAACAATTTCCATCCTCTTGAGAATGCATGTCTTGAATTATGCTTGCTAGTGCACACTGATTGAATTCATATGTTTCATCAACCTTATATGCAAAGTTATCCTACTCTGGAGTGTACAATTCAAGAGGATGTAAGATAGAAAATGGTTCTTGAGTGAATCATATATTGCCAACCAAGAGGTCAAATCTCATTCCTCCCCTAAAAATAAGAAAGCTCTAATAACATTAAAGAGTATATGTTTCCCAAGCCAAAATGGTGTCCAAGTCAAAAATCTTGCACCCACAGATTCAAACTCTTCCATGTACAGAGAGAGGGGCATGCTTCACTCTCAGAGGGGATAAGACTATGAGTTTGTGACAGCTACTATCTCATTTGCTTGTTTATTAGCACACATTTACTGAGCTCTGACTATGCAGACTTTCAGCACCATGAGGGCAGGGATTGTGTTCAATTTTGCTCACCACTGTAAAGGGAGAAAGGAAGGGAAGGAAAGAAGACAAGGCACTATGCTAAGTAACTTGAACACTCTAAGTGTTCTAAGTATATTTAGTGTGAAGTTACAGATATGTAAACAAAGTGAAATATTATAAGCATTATAATTAAAAATATGTATAGATATGGTGAGGTTCCAAAGTCATGGCTAATTCTATCTGGTTGGAGGTGGGAGCAAAGTGCAGTGGGTTATGAAAATGTTTATGGAGACAAGGCTTTATTAGGACTTCTGTGGGCGCTAGGGCAACTCCTGCCTTTGCGGTCTCTTTCCTCTAGAAAAACACATTTAAATATGATATAATTATAGTGTAACAGGATGAGTATAATTATCTGGGCATTCTAGGAGCACATAGCCGGGAGGTCCAGCAAAGACCTCCAGGAGGACAAGATGTTTAAGTGAGAGAAACCCTAAGGACAAGCTGTAAGAGTGGCTGAGAGAGAGGGAAGAGTGTTCCAGGTGAGGGGAGGAAGACTTTTCCTCTACCTAATGTGGGTTCGTCTGGCCGGAGAACGAATTAAATTCACATGAGACAGAATAGCAAGAGAAAATTAAACAAAGCTTTATGAGGACCATGGCCCGGGGCCTTTCTTCCTGAAGGAAGAAAGGGCACTGAAGAAGTGGGGTGCACAGAGTGGTTATATACCCCCAAACAGGATATTTCACATATGATTGAAATGTCCCTCCCACAATAGTCACAAGATTGCCCTGTCGGCACAGCGCTTGATGGAAACAGCAGGTAGGGGTCTGCTATCTCGGAGGGTGTAGCAGGAGGCAAGTCTATTGTCTTGAGCTGGGTGGTCACAGGTGAGCGCAGCAATCAGTTCCTAGCCTAAGGAAAGATGCTTAATCCTTAAAGAAATGCCAATGTTGGGAGGGGGAGGGAAGTCAGTTACAGGAGGTTACCAGACAAGCACAATAAACAAATGCAGATTTAAGTCCTTGCCTTCCCCATTGATTAAGAGTTTCTAGAGATAAGGTCATCTCCCCTTCTTCCTGGTACAGAGGGCAATATCTTTACAGACGGAGAGTTCCTTTACAATGTAAATGTCTCTTACAAAGGGTAAGTAAATTCTACTTTTCAGTTGCTTTCCTGTCTGCAAAGTAACTAGCCTGAAATAATCATCATGCCAAAGAGACATACCTTGGGGTGGCCAAATCCAGGCCTCCACACAGGTAAACAGAACAGCTTGTTTAAAGGCCTGTGAGAGATCTATTATGATTGGACGAAAGAGAGAGAGAGACAGAGGACAAAAGGGGAGGAGGGGTGGGAGATGAAGTTAGAGGGGAAGGTGGGGGTCAAACCACAGGAGGCCCTGTATTAAAGAGTCTGACTTTGTCCTAAAGATAATAAGAAGCCATTTAAAGGCTTCTATGTTAGGAATCAACAGGATCAGTTTTGCATTTTGAATATTAATTAAAGCTACATTGCAGCCAATGGACTGGAGAAGGTGTGGTGGATATTCTGGGGGTCCACCAGGCCCCCTCTTCAGGGCCCATGTACCCATCCCCAGCTTCTGGAAATAGTGACTTTTGAAGGCCCACAGCTGAATTCTTCAATGGGAATTGCTCTCAGCCACAGTGAACTGCCTTTCCCAAGGGCAGATACTCTCCTAGAGAGCACCCATGGTCACGAGATACCAAGGTCCAGCCACCTTATCTCAATCAGGAACAGTCTCAGCTCCTAAGCTCCCTGAAGGATTGGCAGAGGTCTCTGTTGTAACCATGTTGCTAGTCACTTTGCCCTCTGCCTAATCCTAATCTATTAGTTTCCTATTGCTGCATAATACGTTACCACAAACTTGGTGGCTTGAAAAAATACACATTTATCATCTTGCAATGTCCATGGGTCAGGAGTCTGGGCACAGCTTAACTGGGTCCTCCGCTCAGGGTGCAATCAAAGTGTTGGCCAGACTGCATTCTCATCTGGAGACTTGACTGGGGAAAAATCTGCTTCAAAGCTCACTCCAGTTGTTGAAAGAATTCATTTCCTTGTGGTTTTAGGACTGAGGACTCCAGCTTCTAGCTGGCTGTCGGTTGGAAGCTGTCTTCAGTACTGAGTGGCCACCAGCAATTCCTAGAGGCTGCTCACAGTTTCTTTCATGTGGGCTTTCCCAACATGGCCATTTACATAATCAAGCCAGCAAGGAGAGTCTCTAGACTTGCCTGCTAGCAAGACAGACTCAGACATAATAGAAAGTAATTGCAGGAGTGACATCTCATCACCTTTGCTGTATTCTATTCAATAAGAAGCAAGTCACAAGTCCCATCCTCACTCAAGGAGAGGGGATTACATGAAAGCATAAACATCAGGAGATGGCAGACACCTTAGAATCTGTCTGCCACACTTGCCTTCCTCACTTCGCACAGGTATAACTCCTGAGAGCAGTCCCCAATAAACCTTCTGCATGCAACTACCCACCTTAGAGTCTGTATCCAGGGAGCAACACTGCAGGCAGAGATGAAGTGAGTTAGAGACTTGCTGTAACACCAATTATGGGTGATAGCAGTGAGAGATTGAGCATCAAATTTTCTTTCTATTAATAAATGTATAATAATTATTATCAGAATTTAGAATGATGCATGGCCTATCTGGAAGTAAAATCAAGTCTAAAAACTACAAGATGTCTTCAAACAGGGATACACGCAACAAAAATAATGCATTTCTAGGGCTGTAGAGCATATTAAACATAACTAACAAGAATTAGGGTTACTATGTTCCACCGTGTGAAAATAAATCTCAGAACACAATTAGTCATATAATCAAAAAGAGATGATTAGCACTTTATTAAATTAGCATAGATTGTACTTTTACAAATTGCAGAAATAGTCAACAAATAGAGCTGCCTTATTAGAGACTGATAGTCAGAAAATATACAAGCAACTGTTGGTATGATAACAGGATCAAATTCCACCTTGTGTATCCACACTGCCATTTCTACTCATTCCATTTACATTCCATTACTTTTTATTCTTGTTTACCTAGTCATATACAGCATGATATAAGTGATATTCAAAAAGGATCCATTTTCAATGATTTCTTCACCACATTATAGGTATTCTCCACTGGAAAAATATTTTTCTTAGGTCTTCAAAATGAGAAATACATATATATAGTGGCCTGACCTGATTTCTGGAAATGCTTAAATACTAAAGCATTTTTAAATCAGTAACTACAAACGCCACATGACTACACTTACGCACTGTGTCGTCAGAGAAATATTTTAGAATATTTTGAGTACTCAACAGTTTATGATTCCAGTGGTCTTCAGGGGAATAACTGATTGCTTTTCACTTTCATGCACATTCAAAATTTCTTACAAAAGAAGAATGGTGAAACAAAATACATAATCTGCCCTTGATAATTTGTGACACTCGGCAGTTGCAGAGAAGCCAGTATTGAGTTTCTTAGAGAAGCAGAACAGCAGCCCTTCAGAGAGGGGTGAGTCGCTCATCTTCTGTCATGAAGGCATCATTAACGTGCCCTCCCTTTGTGTCTAGGGGATCGCATGGGATGCCATTTTCAATTGTGATTGTGTTTTCACACTTATCTTCAGTGTCATCCACTTCAGATGGCCCTTTGTCCTTCCTAAATGAACATAAAAAGAATGATTGGTATCTAGGAGGAGAAAGCATGGTCTTCTGTACAAACATGGAGAGCAGGAAAGGGAAGGGGAACCTTAGAATGATGAAATAATTGATGACATTGTGTATTTTCAAATAAATTTCAAAGATCATAAAGAGCTGATAAGCTGAAAAGATGCTCTCAAGATAAGAAGTCTGCCTGGATGATATATACATATTGATCAGAACAAGTGGGTCTTATTTGGAATACTAAAATAAACATATATGAATATGTACATGAATGTGTACATATGTATGTTTATATGAATGAATATGTTTGTATACACCCACATATACACCTATACATTTACAGACACAAATTGCATGAAGGAATGTGAGGAAATATATGGTAAATGGCAAGTTAAAAATTTAACTCTAGGAGAACAACTTGATAAAAATTGGATTTAAAAAAGCAATAAATTCCTCTCACAGGATTTGACAAATTAATGGCCTGAAAATGTTGAGTGAAAATCAAATTGAAATGAAATATCAAGAAGCAAACTCTCATTACTTTGCAGAAAGGAAGTAACCATTATAAATTGCAGATATCACTGCTTGGCTCTACTTATTACAAAATAGTTGCATTCATTTGTAAGTCAGGTTTTGTAACCCAGAAAACATTTTACTAATTAACAACTCATAGCTATAATTCCAGGTCATTCCAGAAAACTCTATAAGACGGGGTAAATTTTTGAGTTTCTCTTTCTCAGATCCTTAGTAGACCCTTCTACTCCAACCCAAGTGGTAACCAGACCCTTAGTATTTCCTTAGAGTGTGGAAAGCTGTAGCCTTGAATTCAAAGGTTCTTCTTGTCTTTTGTGAAAGACCAAGCCACTGAGCCAATTATGCTTGATATCATGGAGGGAGGGGGAGAAAAAAAGAGTGGTGCATGATGATGCCCCAATGATGACTGAGACAGAGTTTCCTATTAGTCCTACGTAAAAGTCCACTTTAACATGCTTTAAAGAATATGGTGGAGGAAGGGAGTGAAAAAGAGAGAGCTCTTGTTTACAAAAGAATGACAACTAATATAGAAGGAGTAACAGAAATAGAAAATCATCACTACAATAATAATTGATTATGTTGAGGCTCATCAATGGATACTAAACCATTGAGTGAGAGATGGTTAGGGAACAGGACAGTCACATGCTCCCACAAGCAATGTACTAAATATAAAGAGACATTTGTATTTTGTAAAGGGAGAAATTTCGTGAATATCACCAACAATGAGACAAAGTGACAAGTGTCTCCAGATGTGATGCAATGAGAAGATTTTATATATATATAAAATATATAAATATTTTTAATATATATAATATATATATATATATTATCCTGGCCCCCTACCAAATTTTTTTGACCTGAATCTCTCAGGAGGAACTAATCAGACAAATCCAAATTTAAAGATATTTTGTAAAACAGCTGATTTAAAGATATTTTGTAAAACAGCTGATCTGGACTCAGCACAGAGTAGGTACTCAACTACAGTGCTTAGAGTTGGATGGACACATACATGAGTGGCTGGCTAGCTAGTTAGACAGACAGACAGATGGATGAATGGATCAATGAATGCAGATCAATGGCTGGCTGGTTGGATGATAAACCGATGGATGGATGGTGGTTGGGTAATTGAACAAACAATTGGATGGATGGATGGACAAACAGACTAATGCTGTAGGCAAAGCTACTTAGACAGTAGCCCGAGGTAGATCTTGAATGGGATCCACCGCAAGAAAGAGAAAGAAGGAAGGAAGGAAACAACCAAGGAAGGAAGGAGGGAAGGAAGGAAATATATACATGTGATACTTCTTGTATCTCTTATATTGTTATTTTTTCAAATGGATGGAGGAAAATATTCATTTTCGTACCTTAGGAATTAGGAGTTAGTATAGATTTTGCCAGGCTTTGCTGATAGTTTCAAACAGCTAGATAATTTCAAATAGCTAGATTTCAAAAAAAAAGGTAAAGTAGCCTTCTGATACTGCAGATTCCACTGTCATCACTTGAAAGTATTTTGCCATTGTAGACGCCACTGTCAAATGTCACAGTGTGTCACTAAAGGCCCAATACAGGGTTGTAAGTCAGGAGTTATAGTCCCAGAGACCTAGGAAAGGATAGGCTGCTGTGTTTTTCCATCCCAAGGGTGAAGACACTCCATGGCCATTCCAAGCATCAGCAACCAGCGATCGGCGCAGGTTGGGGTGGGCATCGAGTTTCATGTGATGAGAAGGTCCTCCAGCAGGTGAACTCACCTACCAGAGGACTAGAATACTTTGGTCCCTCCTCCTGCGGACAGGAGTATCATAACTTTCCATGTCCTCCAGAAAGCATAAGCAATTGACATTCTATAACCATCAATCACATTACTTCCATTCAGTGTATCCAACTTTCATTCAATATTTTGAGTGCCTACTATGTGTTGGAAGAGACACAGTCCTTGTTCTAAAGTGAAAAGAAAGGACTCAACAAAAGGAAAAAATTCCGAATTTCCCTGGTCCTCCCTCCCCTCATTTTTTATGGATTATAAAAGGAGGGATGAAACCCTAGTAACAAATACACATTTATAAATTATCAAAAATGTCTAGCTCGTGCAATTTTCCCCCAAATCACTCCCCATTGGGCTTGGAGTGAATAATAATTCTCCATAACAATAAATTTTAAACAGTCAGATCTTACCCTGAAATTTGTGTATGTAAGTATGAAACCCATATTACAAAAATCTTAGTGAATGGAGCATTCTGAAGTAAGTGGCAATGCAAAAATAGTGTTAGAAAAAATGGTTGTCAGTGTTTATTTGACAGTTTCTTCAGTTAAAAAATGTTTCGGGGCCAGCCCTGTGGCCGAGTGGTTAAGTTCGTGCGCTCCACTGCGGCAGCCCAGGGTTTCACCAGTTCGGATCCTGGACATGGACATGGCACCACTCGTCAGGCCATGTTGAGGCGGTGTCCCACATGCCACAACTAGGTGGACCTGCAACTAAGATATACAACTATGTACCAGGGGAATTTGGGGAGATACAGCAGAAAAAAAAAAAAAAAAGATTGCAACAGTTGTTAGCTCAGGTGCCAATCTTAAAAAAAAAAATGTTTTTATGGAGTTAGAAGAAAAATTGCCGAGAACTGGACACATGCAGATCACTGCAAGGAATCTTGCCTCTCCCTCCACCAACCACAAGGGAAAAATAATCTATCAGGTGTCACAAAAGAATGGGAAGAACTAAAAAGGAAGATGCAAACGGATGAGGACAAGTTTCTCTTCGTTAGTAGAAGGATTTCTCAACCAAAAAGATTCTGAGCGCAATCACTCTGGAAATTTATCAAAGCGAGCTGTGTCAGTGGCAAATTAGGTACATATTGTTCTTTTGTGACCTTAGATCCAGTTGTTCGGAGTCATGGCATTGCTGGGCTTCACAAACTGCAGTGTCAGTAACTTGCTGGTTGGTGGACATGATAAGCAGCTCAAAGGTTATCTAACAGTAACATAGCACTTTGTCACATCTCATAGTGTGTACTGTAATAAACTGATTCACTGCCCATGCATTGCTCTTACTAAGAATAATAAAACTTAACTATCTTTCTGGATCATTCTGATTTGATGTTCCGCTAAAAACATGAATTCTTTTTCCTGAAAAATAAAATTGAGCTTTAATGACTTCCGCCGTTCCTGTAATGTCAGCTGGTCCAGGAAGAGGATAAAACAAACAATAAAAAAAAGTGACTAAAATACCTGAAACTAGCTCCTAGGAGCCTTGAGAATGGATATCTCTCATAAATCCAGAGAGAAGAGGGGAAAAAGAAAGGACGAGAAAAGTATCAGGTGGCCCTCAGAGCTGGGAGTGTTGAAGAACAGGGTTTGCTCAAGATAAAGTAGTTGCACCTAAAAGCAGAAAGAGTATTTCTATCTCCTTTCAAACAAGATAGGGCAGAAGAGCCAAGGTCCAAGAATAGCCAGAAAAACAACAAAGGATAGACAAATATGATTTTAAAGCAGGACAGAATCAATTATTGGGGAAATAGGACTGTCCTCATAATCAGTATGGATGATTCCTGGTGAAAATGTCAGCAACGATGTTGTTACTGGAATGATTTCAGTGGGCATTGCAGCACACTGATTGGTGGGCTTTGGGATCAAGCCCACCTGGTTTTAAATACTGGTACTACTACTTTCTAATCATGTGACTGTAGGCAGGTGGCCTTTTATCTGTCATGTGATAGCAATAATAATAATAATCAGTATCTATCACATGGCAGAAACCAGACTAAGTGCTTTGCATACATCATCTCAACTATTCCCATTGCAATATTGTGCACATTTTATTATTATCATTGTTTTTCAAATGAAGGAGCTGAGACTCAAATATATACAGCAACTTGTCTTTCAGAATGGAACAAAATTGGTAAAAAGAGTGGACCTAGAACTCTATAATCTCCCCAAGCTTCACTCAAAACACGTATTTTATTCCTACTGAGTATGTACATTTAAGAAGAGCAAAGAAAGACAATTATTAGCTCTAACATTTCTGATTTTATTTATACGTCTATTTTCAAGACTATTTATTTAATTAAAGGTTATTTTTTTTAAGATTGGCACCTGAGCTGACATTGGTTGCCAATCTTTCTTCTTCTCCTCCTTCTTCTTTTTCCTTTTCCTTCTTCTTCCTTCTTCTTCTCCCCAACCCCCCCCCCCCCCCCAGTACATAGTTGTATATTCTAGTTGTAGGTCCTTCTGGTTGTGCTATGTGGGACACTGCCTCAGCATGGCTTGATGAGTGATGCCATGTCTGCGCCCAGGATCCGAACCAGCGAAACCCTGGGCCGCGGAAGCGGAGCACGGGAACTTAAACCACTCAGCCATGGGGCTGGCCCCTAATTAAGGTTTATATAAGAATATGAAGTTTCAGTATATGAAAATGTCAGCTGAGTCCCATCCCCTTGTGTGAAAAGCAAGATTTGTAGAAATCCAAATTCACTTCTGTTTACTATTGACCTTATGGGAATAGAAATATAACCAGAAATAAACCAAGTGAATTTATTAATTACTCTACTCAACTGTGAGCATTAGGTAGGTTTCTGTGTCCTGAGTCCTTGACTTGGCTTTGCTACCAACTACAAGATTTTAATCTCCTTTAGGCAGGGACCATCCTATCTATGTCTATATATCTCTATCTATATATGTCTATTTATCTATATATGTCTCTTCCACGGTATGTACCATAGCTCCTATCACAGAATGGATGGTCAATAAAGGAATAGGATATTTTTACCTCTGAGGCTTGGTTTTTGGAGAGATGGACTTAGTTCATCGTTAAGGTTGCTTCCTAAGATCCTAACGTTATAACAGTCTATTTATATATGGGATTCTTAAATCAATTCTACTATGCAAATGCAAGTCTGAAATTGTGCTGTATGTGTGACTCTCCTTTCATAGCACAAAGTGCAAGGTTACATAGAATCAGCACTTTGTAACTGCTTTTTGATGGTAATGCTAGTAACTTCCATTGATATGACACTTTCCAGTGTATAAAGCACTTGTGTATATTCTCTAATTTTGTCTTCTCATCAACATAACTATTTAAGAAAATATTATTATCCTCATTTTCCATATGCAACCTTCTCAAGATCACTCAGCTAGTAAATGCCCGGGCCTAAGACTGGAAACCAAAACCAAGAGTATTGATCTAGAGCTCTTTCTACTAAAACACACATCACATTATCAACTTAATCACCATTGCCATTATCACATCACCCTCACCATTATAACCATGATTGCCCTTGTCATCATCCACCATCACTATCACCATCATCGTCATCACCATCACCATAAAGCTGACCAGAGAACTAAAACACCTAGCTCTGGGCTGGCGCTACACACAGATCTAGTACAGACATCATTGTGAAGTACATGCAGCTCATCCTGGCTGCCTTCCAACCTACCCAGCTCCCTAATTGTTGCCCAAAAGTTAAAAAAAATAAAAATCACTTCTCCATCTTTTCCTTTCAACAAAACTCTCTCTTCCACAAACCATTCTCAACTAGATGATAATAGAGAAGCAGCCTCCTCAAACTATTTCAAAAGGAGATGGCAGTGGCAATAGTGTGTTGAAGCTGGCTGTTACAGGCTTGCAAGGGGTGACTTAAATATTCAGAAATTTCATACTTGATAGGAAATTGACAAATGCTACAAACCAGGGTATATTTTTTAGAGAGCTGGTTAACCACTATTATAGTAAACAGCAGACCTAATAAGACCATTTACCTTTTAAAATAGGCGTTTGTTGACTAAAAAAATCCCAAGTAATGAGCCATGGAAAATTTTCTACAATATGGTGGCAATATCTGGATAGAAAAGATATCCTTTTCCAGCATCCCTTAATCACAGAAATGGGTTAAGCTGATCTTGGATAATAATTACTGATTATTTAGTGCATACTATACCCTAGCTACTTTATACACATTTATCTCATCTAATCCTCATGGAAGCCCTGTGAGATATTATCTCCATATTACAGATGGAGAAATGGACTCATGGAAATTAGATGACTCAACCAAGGTCAATCAGCTAAAGAGTATAGCTGGTATTTGAGTTCACCTAGTTCAGGCTCCAATAACTGCATACTTTCCACCCATGGCTCTGAATGATCAGTGTAACACTGTTAGTGACACAGTTAATAGAACTATTAAAGTTTTACTTGAGAAATTTCCTCAATAGTAAGTTTAAATATTTGGGGCTGGCCCGGTGGTGTAGTGGTTAAGTTTGCACACTCTGCTTCAGCATCCCAGGGTTCACGGGTTCGGATCCTGGGTGTGAACCTACACACCACTCATCAAGCCATGCTGTGGCAGCATCTCATATACAAAATAGAGGAAGATCGGTACAGATGTTAGCTTAGTGACAATCTTCCTCAAGCAAAAAGAGGAAGGCTGGCAACAGATATTAGCTCAGGGCCAATCTTCCTCACCAAAAATAAATAAATAAATAAATATGCATATATGTTAGATAATACTGGCACTCTTTTCCATAGAAGCAGAATGGTGACTTTTTATGACCCCATTGTCCTTCCTGATCTTCTAAGTTTAAGATTTTCTATCATGCAAACTATGCTCATTATTATCTAATGTGTATGCATTGGATTGCTGAACAAATCTTTGTCTTGCCCAAGACTAAAGACTTTGGGGCAACTGCTATCTTTTCCATGATTAGAAAGGGATTTCATCACAATTATCAGGACTCGCCTCACTTTAAACTGCACCCTCTCCTCACCTTTGAAGCAATACTTTGCCCAAGAAAAACCCACTGCAGACTGTATCAAACTTAAAACATGACAAATCAATTTATCTTCAAAAGGTTGTCATAATTGTCCTGACTATATTTGCTAATTATTGATGCCCTCCAGGTTTACACAAGAGATCTGTCTATCTGTTTTTCTAGTTTGAACATGAAATGAATTTATGAAGGCAAGGTTGTGACAACAGCCTCACTCTTCCTGGGCAACAGATTATGATGCTACACACCCAATTATCGTGTTACTGCAGAATCTACTCAGAAGGAAAGAGATAGCTGATCCCAGCACAAACTAGCTGAAAGACCAGCAAATGGCAAGATAACAAAGTAATAGTAAGAGCTAACACTTACTGAGCATTCACTGTGTGCCAGGCGCCACTCTAAGCACTCTACTGTATTAACTCTTTTTAGCCCACCAAGTTAATTATTTCCCTGATACTTTGCTGTCGCTCTAGCAAAGCTATCTATGCACAGACAGCAAAGAAAAAATTAACCAACTTGACTCTAGCACCACAAACCATATTCTCCTGAGTTTCGTTTCCCTGACTCATTGCCTGTGCTTCCTGATATCCATACAGTTAATGGATTATACCCAAGAGTAGAATCTAGGAGATAAATACTTTGGATCTAAGCAGTCTATTTCCAGAGCCCATTCTTCTAACTTCTGCACTATATCGTACTAGTGAGAAAATTGGGAACTACAGAGATGAAGTGAATTCATAAAGGTTACAATCAATAGAAACTGAAGAATCATAGCATTTTAGGATTAATACAAAACTTTAAAATATTAAACACAGATATTCAAATACTATAAGAGAATATTTCTTAATATTCTTAAAAAAAATACCAAAACAAATTAACAATTTGTACCAAGTCTCTTTGCATTACATGTCAAGCCAAAATCAAGAAAATCAAGCAAGTACAACTTGATCTTAATCTTTGAGTTTAATTCAGGGACTAGACATAAATTTTATTTATTCCATAGAGTTTCACTTATCATTTGTGAAAAAAATTACAAAGCCCCAAATTTAAAATGATTACCTTCTGCTAGTAACTAGGGTGAACCATACAGGAAGTAGTAAACCTCAGGAGAAACATTTAATTGAACACAGACTAGGCCAGACACACCCCATATGTTCCAAGTGGGCACCAACACTTTTGAAAACCAATGCATGGCCCTGTGATTCCCACTTACCAGAATTCATCTCCCTTGGCATCAGAAGGGGAGGTTTAGAAGCATCAAAACGTCTAGTGAAGAGCTGAGGACTCTTTCCACTTCCCCTCTGGATCAGAGGTACTTGCCAACAAAATTATTTTCTCCTTTCACTGCACTGAGAAACCCTGCCTGTCTCCTCTCCTCCTGTCTCACTACCTTAGTAACTCTTCCACTGATCTGAAATTCTCTCTTGAAGTAATATCAATAATTTAGACAGCAAAGTTTACAAGTGCCCCAGAATCCACGTAAATGAACTTGAGGAGTGGGAATCTATAGGTAAGGAGTTAAATTGGAAGCTTTCAAACTAAGTGAATTAGAATAACCTGGATATTTATTAAAATGCATCCCCTTTAGAAATTCTAATTTAGTGGGTCTGTAGTAGGGGAAAGGAACGAACATTTTAAACAAGTGTTCTAAGTGATCTGATGCAGGGAGTTGATTCAAAGGCCACTTTGAGGAACATGGTTCTGTATAATGTCATAGGGACTAGAAGATGAGCAACCATCAAAGGGAGGGAAGTACAAAACAGCACAAAAGTACCTGGGGCAAGATGGCGGCTGCATGTACTGGGCCAAGAGGAGGCAGGCCAAGGTGGAGAGGCATGGAAATGACTATGGAGCTGCTAACATTTGGAAGTGGATGACTATCAAAGATTAACTCTGCCTACCTGAAAAGTCAGCTTAACTCTGTATATCCAGTTTACAAAATCATAACACAAGTATTAAAATCAACTCTGAATATGAAACATTCATATGGTGTAGAAGAGAGTGAAAGATAGTAATGGAAGGAGCCATAGTCAAGTAAGGGACATTGGACTCCAAAAAGTCTCTAAAAACAAGAGCATAAGTGATATTTTGAAAATCATCAATTTTTTCAAAGTTTCAGATTTAAGGTATTATCTTCAGCTAGGGGAAAAAAATCCTCTCCTTATTTTTCCAAGCCATGAATAAACAGGAAAACACCCTTTAAATTACTCCCTTTAAATATCTTACCTTCTACGTTGCCTGATTCCTGATAAAATCAATAGTATAATTGCAACTATGACGATGCAAAATATCACACCAAATATAATAATCCAGATGGGCACAGGTGGGTCAGTGGGTGGTATAAGAGTGGAAGGAATTTTTAAAAATTCCAGAGTCTGGTCATTCAAAAAGAAGGCATTGTTGATCCGGTTCCTATTCATCCTAAAATACAATGATGATTAAAAACAAACAAGACAGAAAAAAACGTTAGAAACAGAAGGCACAGGCCTCTCTCTCCATGATTATAACTATCCCTATAAACAGAGCTCCCCCTAGCAGGAGGCTTCAGGTTGAATAGACAGTTCGATGAGGGCAATCACACTGTGGTTTTCTTTTCATAAGTTGCTTCCAGAGAGATGCTCGTCTATGCACCACTGCCCTCCATGTTGCGAATGTCCTAGAAGTAACCAGAAATCCTGAGCTCTGAGCTCTGCCCACCATGTTTTATTTCCTGAGAGGTAGCATCTAGATTTAAATGACAGAACTCTATTGAAGGTGGCTTACATAAATACCAACAGGCAGAAAAAATAAAATAATATGTAAAAAGTGGGCAATAAGCATGAGAAGAAAAGAAAATCAGGAGCAGAAAAGAAAACAGGAAGCCAGGAGCAGCTGCAAATCCATCAATTTGATCTTTTTTTATTAATTCAACAAATATTTGCTGAAAATTTGCTAAGTACCAGATAGTGTGCTAGGTGCTAGAGATACAAAGTGAAATAAAAACACCAAGGAGCCTACAGTCTAGAAGGATGGCAGATCGGTCACTCCACAATCACAGTGCAGTGCAAAGTGTCCTATGAAAGAGGCAAATATGGGCACAGTGGGAGCACAGCAGAAGGGTGAGTACATCCCAGTGAGAAGTCAGGGCTGTTTTCCTGAGAAGGCAACTTTCGAGCTGTGTTTTGAGGGACAAGTAGGAGTTCTTTAGACCAGAGTGTGTAGTGAGCACAGGAATGGAGACATGGTATAGTATGACTTGTTCAGTAAACTGCAAGCAGTTCCGTTTGACTAAAGTAAATGGTGCTTTAGGAGTCCAAAAGTCTAGAAAAATATAAAGGTAAATGTGTTATTTTTCCTGGGGAAAATCTGCATTTGGGTGGTGGTGGCAGTTAGGGAGGGCTTGGTAGCAAAGACTTATTTGACTGAAGCCAAATAAGTGAATTTCTAACTGGAATTTGCAAATTGGGTGAGGAGATTTCTTAGAGCTATTGTATGGCCTTTACTGAATCCCCACTAGATAGGCTGACTTCATCCACCTCTAGGGCAGCACTGGGAAAGAGAAATACAATGTGAGCCTCATGTGTGGCTTAAAATTTTCTAGGCACTGCCATTTTTTTAAAAAGTAAAAAGAAACAGGTAAAATTAATTTTAATGGTATACTTTTGCCTCAATAGATTGAAGAAAATATAATTTCAACATATCCTCAATATTGAGTTGGCTCACATTTCGTTTTGTACTGAGTCTTTGAAATTCAGTGTGTACTTCACACTTAGAGCATATTTAATCTTGGACTGGCAACCTTCCAAGTGCTCGATAGCCACATGTGGCTGACTGCATTGGACAGTGCAGGTCTTGAACGATAGTGATGGCTTGAGAACCTCTGCAGACCAGCACCAGGCTATCAGGAAAGACCTCCTTTAGCAAACAGAAATCTGTGCTGAGGCATGATTATTCATGAATGTGAAGGAGAATCCCAGCCAGACAACCTACAGCAGGGGGTAATTTCAATGTAATTTTTATCAAACCATGGAATGTTTTCTTTTTTCATAATTTAATATTGATAATCTGGGGACACAAACCTTCCCACAAAACAATGAACCCTATTACTAAGGGTATGACTCAGAGTAAAATGAACGTTCAGTACAAACTGAATCTCCATCCACCACTGAAATCCCCAGTAGGTGTCAATCGCGATGGCTATCTTCCAGCCAAGACTGGCCTTGACTAAGTCGAGGCCCTCACAACAGAGCTAAAACAGACATCTTAGAACTGGTTGGTCTTTGTCTCCCCTCATTCCATAGGTGTGGACACTCTAGCAGAGAGAAAAATACTCACTGGATATGGTGGCAGCATGCCTGGGTTCAAGTCTGCACTCTTTATTTTTCTAGCATGGCGGCCTTAGCGAATCAGTTAATCTCTCTCAGCCTCTATTTCCTCATTTATAAGCCAGGGATAGTAATAATTACTTAAAAATGATTGGCATTGATATTAAATGCCACAGATGCATAAGAACACATCTTGTGAACCAGAAAGTCTTATGCAAATATTTGGTGAAACTACTATTATTTTGCCCAACCACGTAGATTCTTCAACCTTGAAACTCCTATTACCTGCCCTCTAGCTACCATCTCCTTTCTCTTCACTCTTTCTTCCCTCTTGGTGGTGTTTCCTTTACTTTCATACAATCCTGATGAACCCTACCCATTCCCTGACATAAATTCTCATTCTATTGGCCATCCTCACTCCCTCATAGCTTCTCCTGCTTGGACCTTTCAAATAGACAGTTTGTTGTGAACATATCCATCTACATCCTTGACCTTCACACCTTCAAGAGTGAAGAAGGTCACTCTTCCTTCTCACGTTAACTGAAGCCTGGTTTAACCACAGTGCCTTCATTTTCCTTGTAGCCCTCCCAGATCACATGGTTTGCATAAAATCTCTTTTCACATGAAATACAATATTCCTCATTCTTACTCTCTAAGTGGTGGGTCTTAGTATTCTTAGTGGCAAAAGTGCAGAAACAACTTAGTTCGAACCTTCTTGTTAAAGCAGATTAAATCATTTTCCATTCGTATAGATCTTTGCTTCAGCAAGGGAAATAGAACGATCGTTCACACAAAAACCTTTGGCATTTGATTATATACTCATTATCTTCAGTGTTAATATTTTACAGAGAGCAAATGAGTTCTTTCACTAGATATTTCTCCTTGGTAAAGAGAACAATATGCATTTCAGTAACTTATAAATCCTTTGTGAGGAGAGTTCCTTTGTTTCATTCTTTCTTTTTTGGGAAATAGTTTGTTTCCTGAACTCATCCAATATACCTTTGCCCAATATCAATCATGTGTGGGATTTGAAGTTTTGACACGCATAAAGTGCACAGCCATTGAAATAAAAACAAATTGCATCCTTCTGCTTCTTTAAAGTAAAGAATACATTTCACTTTTGAAAGTTTGTTATGATCACAAGGAAAGGAGGAGGAGAACTGTCAGGAAAAACTGTATAAAACTTGAAATGGGTAAAAAATATTACTGAGTGTCTGGCGAGAGTAACTTTCTGGACAATTTCCACTTTCTATTGTCTTTGAGTTATCTTGCAAATCTGTAAGTTGTAGAAAACTGAAATAATGTAAATGATTCTTGCCAAAGAAAATCAAGTGAACCGTGTCTCATGGAACATGATTGATTACTGCCTGTTGGAAAGACTGGTCCATCTTTTTGCAAATGAACATCACCATTCTTCAATTCCTATATATGCATGGTTCCCTGAAATCTCCTTAGAACCAGTTTTAACATGTCACTAGCTTCTTCATTAATTAATAAGATAATAAAATCTTTGATATTATTTATTTTTAATTTGTATGAGAGTCATGATTTTACCTTTTTAAAAAAATATAGCTTTTAAAGATAAAGACTGTATATTGACTAAAGAAGGTAAGTCTTTAGATATCCAAGAAATGCGAATATTTTTCTTGCTTTTTAAATAAAAGTCAAAGGTATGACTTGTCCCTCAAAATGCCTTCCATTTATTAACTCATTTCATCTCTTCAACAACTCTGAGAGATTAAATTCCCATTTTACAGATGATAAGAGGAAAGTAAAAGAGGGGAAGTAATTTGTCTGTATTCAAACAGTTAGCAAAAGGCAAAACGGAATTACAAACCTAAGCATTTGGGCTCCAGAATCCATGTGATGAACCATCACATAAGAGTGCTGTACACGGTGTTCTTGACAAATGAAGACAGTACTAAACATTCTTAGCTAATATTTAAAGCAGAGTTTCTCGGGGCTGGCCCTGTGGCCGAGTGGTTAAGTTCGCGCGCTCCGCTGCAGGCGGCCCAGTGTTTCGTTAGTTCGAATCCTGGGTGCGGACATGGCACTGCTCAACAGACCACGCTGAGGCAGCGTCCCACATGCCACAACTAGAAGAACCCACAACGAAGAATACACAACTATGTACCGGGGGCTTTGGGGAGAAAAAGGAAAAAATAAAATCTTAAAAAAAAAATAAATAAATTTAAAAAAATAAAAAAAAATAAAGCAGAGTTTCTCAACCACAGCACAACTGACAATGGGGGGGGGGGGGGTTGGCGAATAATCCTTTGTTATGAAATGCTGCCCTGTGCATAGCAGGATATTTAGCAGCACCCCTAACTTTTGCCTACTTGATGCTGGTGACCCTCCCCCCACCACCACCAATTATGACAACAATAATGTCTCCAGGCATTGCCAAATATCTCCCTGGAGGGAAAATTGCCCCTAGATGAGAACCAGTGATGAACTCTAATCTCTAATACAAACTAACAAAATAAATCTTTGACATCTTAACAAGTAAATCATTGTGAAGCAGAGAGAGCATTCTTCAATATCTATGAAAATAACTGAATTAATCACCTAGTGGATTTACCATAGAAGGCAGTGATTACCTTATGGCTTCCTGTACCTCAACAGCAGGAAGGGTGTGCTTTTCCGAAGGGTCTGTAACCACAAACCAGAATGACACCCGCTGAGTTACATTGCAAAGTAGGACGTGGGAAATTCTGCAGATGATGGGAAGAAAAAATACATTATAAATAAATAATACCAAATTGTATTAGGCCATCCACTCTGGTGTAATGACCATCTAAGAGGCGTCCTAGCTGTGTATGAAAAGTCATTTCCACCATTATGAAGAAATGTTTTATTGAGAACAAAATTATATAGGAAATTTCCATTGTTTCAAAATCATATACTTGAGAATCATTCCTTAAATAAGCAATCTACCAAACAAGAAAAAATAAAGAATTACTCAATAGAGAGCATTAGGGATCTCATTCTCTATCACCTGTCAGCTGATAGCACTCCTGCTTCCCCAACACTTGGCCTCTCTCTGAACCACAGACGCCTTTTGTGTTTCCTCATCAAGCTCTTTTCAGCGTCTGCCTCATTCAGCCTTCCACCTCTCACATCCAGACAAATCTGTTGTCCACACTTGATTCAACACTTGCTTGCTCCGTTGGCCACCATTTCTGTCCCTCTCCCACTGTAATATTGGGGCCTGCCCAAAAACAGACCTCCAAACTGAAGTGCTATAATTAATTTATCGGTGGCCTTTGAACATTGATTCTCCAGTTACCTGCTTTCCCACTGTAGATGGGAAATGTGACTTACTCTACTCTGCGTACACGGATTATGAGCAGAAATGACAAGAAAGAAATGGATTAGTGTTCAGACTGGAGACAATCAATATATGAATGTATGAAATGTATGAAGGCTGAAAATTCTAGGAGAGTCCACATTAAATGAACATTATCATGCTAAAACATAAATCCTGAACGTCTTTCACCATTTGCTTAAGAGCAAAATTACAAAAAGTGACATTAGCAACCATTCTAGAAAAATGACCTTTACTAACAAAAGTAAATTTGTTGTTTTTCCTTAAAAGAGCATTCAAGTGCATTAGGTTCGTTTTCACAATGAAAGAGCAGCCTACTGTCCATTTTCTGTAATTTTCAGGACCTAGTAGAAATTATTATATTTTCTCCCTTTATCTGCCAACTATAAAAGTCAAGGCACTCCTGGGCCTCTTTGCCCAGAGCCCCAGAGCCAAGCACTGGGAACCAACAGTGGGAAGCCGGACGTTCCTGTTCTCAGAGAGCAGGCGGCCTCCCCCCGCGTGGGGTCTCTGTGTTCACAGGGCTGGCCTGGCACGTGCGGGACCCCGTGCCCGGAGGGCCCGGACGTGCGACACCCCACGCGCTGTCCTTGCGCCCGGTACCAACGGTCACGCAGCCTGTGCGCTTGGCGTCTGAAGACTTCGGACACGTCTGGGAGCCGAAGGCCCCGACCCGCCGCACCGCGATCATGGGCAGCTACCTGGGCACAGCCGAGGCCGCACAGCCGCCCCCAGCCCCGGATCGCAGGTCCCAGCGACCCAGACCCGCCGGCAGCCAGCGGCACTGGGACCAGTGCCCGGTCAACCACGTCCACCCGGAGCGCTGGACGCGGACCCAACCCCACCACACCTCCATGGGGCTGGATTTGTCCGAGAATCAGAAGAGCTTCAGGCAGCGATGGCTTTGGAATGCCCGGAACCCCCGACACGTCCGGAGCCCGGTCACCGTCAAAATCAATCCTCCTGAGCGCAGAGAGAGCGTCTCCCGAGGTCCACCCCCGGAGGAGCCCCCGGACCCCTGTGCCAAGGAGACCGTCCTGAGGGCCCTCAGCCAATGCCAGAAAGGAAAGAAGAAGTTCGACGGACCTCTCTGGTTTGAGATCCCTGACCCCGAGGAGAGGAGCCCGAGCCCCCAGCCCAGGCCATCTGCCTTCCAGCCTGTACGGAGAAACGGAGTGACCCCTTCCTTTGTGCCCAGGCCTGGGCCTCTGAGAAGCAACCTCCGCCACTGATGCAACAGTGCCTGACAGGAGGAGACTGACCCGGGCCTGACCTCCAGCCTTCCTGGGCCTTCCCGGTGCACCGCCCACCGGCCACCGCCCACCACCCACCGCCCACCCTGCTGCGAGGACACCACCAACCAGCCCCCAGAGCCTCGCCTCGCTGGAGAGCTGGGAGGGATCAGCACTCCACGGGGCCTGGGGCCTCCTGCAGCCTCATGTCCCCCTGTGTCCCAAGAGGCAAGGCCCTGCCACCACCACCTCCTGAGACTCAAACCCACAGTCCTTTTACCCTGTTGGCCCCGCTCTACCCCTCCGTGACTCACTGACACCACCAGGTCACCTCCCACCACCCCAGCTGGCAGGTCTGCCAAGCCCCCAGGCCCACCTCTCTGCTCCCTATGGAGCCCACGCTGAAGATACACTGTTTGCCTTCCTCCTGCCCAGCCAGGCCTGCCTTGTCCCTGGGACCACGCTTACCCAGAAAGCCTGCTTCTCCACTATTTGCCCAGTTTGTATAGAGGAAAGTTTGTTCTTATTTTAAATAATAATAATGGTGGGCAGCTTTATTATCATAGAGATTGTCATCGTCTTTCTTTCAAAGAGTCACACATTAGGATTTTGTCCACACCATGGCTTCCCCACCTCAGCACTGTTAACATTTGGGGCCAGATAAGTCTTTGTTGTTTGTTGGGTGCTGTCCTCTGCATTGTAGGGTTTTAGCAGAATCCCTGACCTCTAACCTCTAAGTGCCAGTAGTGTACCCATATTGTGAAAATAAACCATATGTGTCCAGTCACCACCAAACATTCAGGAGCCCCTCCTTGGGGGTGGGAGGGTGGTGGGAGTGGGGAGAGGCTGGCAAAAAAAAAAAAAAAAAAAAAAAAAAAAATCCCACTGGTAAAGACGCACGGGGGGACGGTGACCCCTACTGGCAGGAACACTCAAGCTTGGTGTCCCAAAATGGGTGGTTTTAAAACACCTACAGGGATGAACAAAATGAAGTGGTGCATGCTTGCCAAAAACATTTCCCCCAATTTTGTAGAATGGTGTGGGGTGTGAATTATTCATGATGTTTGGCTTTATTAATAATCAGAAAATGTATTTTTTTAAATGAGCAACTTAACCACTTCAGGTTGTCAAAATTCAAAAAGGTAAATAATATCAAGTGCTGCTAAAGATGCAGAGAACTAGAATCCCATATATTAAGAAATTTCTATTTTTTAATATAAAAAAGTTAAATAATATCAATTGCTGGCGTGTCAGAGGGTCCAACTGTTCTGGAGCGGCATTTGGAAGTGCTTCCTAGAACAGAGTGTGGCCGCTAGAAACTCTCTTACACACACCCTCACACCCCAACACAGATTGGTGAGGATGCTCTTTGCAGCACACTTGTCAGGGCAGAGAACTGGAACAACCTAAATGTCCAACCTAAATCGAGAGGGGAATGGATCGAGTAAATACGGTGTGCAATCTCAAGGGAATAGCATTCCACAGATGGCAGGAAAGAAACAGCCAGGGTTTCTCAACTATTGGGCTACTGGGCCAGATAATTCTATGTTGGGGAATGCCCTGTGCATTGCAGGATGCTTAGCAGCAAACCTGGCCTCCACCAACTAGCTATCAGTAGGACCACCTCCAGTAGTGGCAACCAAAAATGTCTCCGGGCATTGGCAAATATCCTCTGAAGGACAAAAACACCCCCAGTTGCAAACTACTGAACTAGAGCTACACTGTTTTATAAAAGGAGGAATCTCAAAAGTACAGTGTTGAGTGAAAAAGAAGGGAAGTGGGATACTATGTATAGCACATGCCCTTTACAGAATTAAACAACTACAAAGTAATATTGCTGGCATAATAGAGGAGGCCAGAAACCAGGTAAGAGGCCATTTGGACACTCTGCCTGTATTGTTCTTTCTATCTAGAGCCTCTTCAAATACTGTTCAAACATGAATCTCATGGTATTCCCCTTTAGAGAGTCAGAGACTACGCCGTAAACAAAGCAAAGTCCCTTCTCCTCTGGAGCTTGCTTTCTAAGGAGGTGGAAACAGAAGATAAACAAGGAGATACACACACACACTGCCCGCTGGGGAGAGAGCATATAAAGAAAGAGAAGGCAGGAGGAGGGCTGCACACAGCTCCATCAGCGTAACTGTGGCCCTGTATACTCTCCTGTCCCCGTCACCATGGAACTGCACTATCCCTTACCGTGAATTCAAGTTCTTTATTCATTGTTTCCACTGGGTGGCAACTCATGCTTTAATACAGCCCCTCGGCAGATGAAATGACAATATTTGCTCTACTTAGAAATACAGATTTCCAAATGATTAAAATTATTGCTGAAAATACTCAGTGGAGACAGTTAGTGTTAGATACAAAAAGTCCTGGACTGAATCCCTAAAACTCAAGCTTTTGTCTTGAAGTTTACTACCTGCCATTTACTAGACTTGAGACACTGCATGCCACTCTACATGAGTTAAGAGCAAGGGCTGGAGATCTTAGTGTGTCAGTGAGGGCGCTGTTGGCATTTTGAGTAGGAAATTCCTTGCTAGGTGGGACTGTCCTGAGTTTGGCACCACACTGATTATCTCTCATCCCCTCCTCCAAATGCCATAGCACTCTCCAGTCATAGATATAACCCAAAAACACATCACATTTCCACATGCCACCTGGATATGTTATGGATGGGGTCAGTGTCCATACCTATATAAAAAACACTTATAAATCTCTTCAAAAGTGTCAAGGTCATGAAAAACAAAGGCAGACCAAGTTCATGAAAAACAAAGGAAAATGGAGAAATTGGCAGAGATTGGATCAAACTAAAGTGGAGTAGACTCTGGAACAGAAAAGGAACATTCGTTTTTTAAAAAGGGAAATCCTAAAATACTACAGTTTAATAACATTAAATGAATTTTAATTTCATATTTTTGATATACCTACCATGGTTATTTAACACAATAACATTAGGGACATGGGTGAAGGGTCTAGGGCAGTTAGTTGCTCAACCTCAGCACTATTAACATTTTAGGCTGGAAAACTCTTGCTTGCGAGAGGCTGTCTATCCTTTTGCAGGATGGACAGCAGCATTCGTAGCCTCTACACACTAGATGCCAGTAGCACATCCAAATGTGAAAACCAAATGCCTGCAGACATTTCCAGATATCCT